ATGTTACGCATCATAATTAGTAAATTTAATGAGCAGGAGGACGCAAGCTATCTAATTATAGGACGACTAGACGTTCACCTTGACGATCGTAGTGTTTGTTGAATACTTGGTCGCATATCCGAAGCCTCAGGTCGGTCACAATCGCGAAGCTAGATGGTAGAGAACCAGCATCATCCAGAACAAGGCTAAGGCCGATGCAAGCTTTCCCGCTCTTTTCCTCGGTGTTCTTGGGGTAAACCATCAGCTTCCTGCGGCGACAAAATTTAATTTAAATTTTTTTTAATCGTATACACAGCCAGAGCAATGGAAAGGATTTAACCAGATTTACATGGGATACAAACATAAATTTCATCTATTGTCCACAATAGAGTGAGAGCGCTTGAATCAATAAACTGTCAGAAGATAATTTGTAATTCTAAATAAGAATATTATAATATACTCTAGAGTGTTCCAGATTATAATATTCTCCGGAGTACTCTAGGAATATTACAATATAATACTCTAGATTTATGCTTCTCATAAATATCTATGAATATTATAATGTTTGGTGTAAAATACATATGCTCTAGAGAATTCTGTATGTGCCTATAAATAGGCAATGGATGTAAGCACTTGTAATTAAGCTTTGAAGAAATTAAAACAATGTTTCTTCAAGCTTCAAGCTAGCCTCTTCCCTTTCAATTCTTCATTTCCCTCGTACTCCCTCCATTCTCAATCCATCTCTCTTCCGCAACTCCAACATAAACGCGGTCAGAGCATTGATTTAGTTATTATAGACCAAACAGATGTAAACATATCTTGATCCATGATATAACTTAATTTATCTTGATCGGTACAGATGATCAAATAGATATCAATTCGCTTTGACCCATAATAAATTTATCTTGATCTCTACCAAAAAAAAAGGGGGAAAGGTAAAAATAAAAGAAAGGAAAAGAATTTCATAGACTTACCAATTGAAGCCTTTATATGGAAAGGGGTGAGAATAGTGATGGTTTGATTTATGCTCGAGAAGAGACGAAAAACCTTCAATCCTCCACTTGAAAGTGCTACTTTTTCCATCTAAAATTTGAATAATGGTTTAAATTAGTTAATCAATACAAGGAAGAAACCGGCGTCATCGAATGAGGAAGAGCTGAGAAGAAACTAGATTAATTACCCGAACAAATGTTGCCCATTACTTCTACTTCAATTCGCTCCCCCTTCACGTTCTCTCTTTGTAGAATACAGCGTTGAGCGTGTGTATATATATACAAGCACGTTGCTACGTTAGGGGATGGGAGAGGAGAGTCGAGATAGGAACATATTTATTTAAACCCCTATATTTAAATGATTCGAAATCCTAATCTTAGTTAAATAACAATTAATCTAGCCCCTCGACAATTACAATTCTTCACATTTATATATTTAGTTCGATTTTAGTTAAATAATAATTCTAACCCCCCAGCACTTACAGTTCCAAGTTTGATAGTGTTGACAATTACAATCCTAATCATTATTTAAGGAGTTTTTTTTTTCTTTAATAGAATTATTAAGGTGTTTAATTACTTAGAAAGTCCTTTACCCTTATGCCGTATTTAAGAATTACATGGATTCGGATCCTCTCCACTACAAAAAAATAATGGAGGGACCACTACATAATCACAACCATTGATTATCTAGTTGATGGTTATGATTTTTTTCTTTTAGTGCAAATTAAGAATGAGCGCAATACACGGGGGTACGGTAAGTGTTAGATTTAGATTATATCTTCATATGATTATTCCATAAAATAGTTTTTTCTTCATGAATAAATTCATAATTTTTTTTTAAATCCACGCCATGGATCATGATTTGTGCCCAATACAGATCATACTGGACATTGAATATAACTGCCATTATTTTTTTAAAGCCTAATGTCGCCTACGGTATAAATCATGCAAGATTATTAATTAGTTCAAGATAATACGAATTTGAGGCGAACGATTTAATTAGATTAACAAGTGTACTAATAATTACAATCGTGCCAAATTCGTCGTCACATCATAAATTAAGGCGCGATGAAGCGAGGGGAATGGCGACAGGAGAGGCGAACAGACGTTCCCCATTCCAAGGCGTCAGATCTCTTCCCTAGGCAGCGTATAGTCTCCTTCAGTAAAGGTAATATCACAACAACTCCTCTACCACCCCCCTCACCTCCTACAGTGCCGCCCATTTCTACCTCTCTGCCTTCTCTCCCACCACCTTCTCTCTTTTCCCCTTTTTTCTCCTCTAAAAACACCTCTTCCAAACCACCTCCAGCCACCCGCTCCATTTTTCTCATCTTTTGTAGACCTCTTTAAGGATATCAATCGCCCTCAGCCCTACGCCCCCCCTTCACCTTCCTCCTCTAAGGGCATTTTTCCCCTTCCAGAGGAGGGTTGGAAGACGGTCTCTCGCAAAAAACGTCCTAAGTTTTCCTCATCATCCACCTTCTCCCCCTCCTAAACTCCCTAGGTGCTTCCTCTGTGGGGATCTCAGACACATGGCCAAGAACTGCACTCTGGGAGACTTCAAATGCTTCGCATGTAACAGGGTTGGTCACACCTCTGCCAGTTGCCCTAACAAAAAGAATCCTCCCACTCTGAACATCGCCCCACCCACCCCACCCTACCCCAAGCCTACTCTCCCCCCATTTCATCCCCAACATAGAGTTGCCTCACTCTGTTATCAGTAATATGAAAGAATATTCTTATGGTTTCTTTGAGCTTCTGGTGGGGAGCCCATCCATAAGTTATATGTTTTTAACGTGTTTAGATATATAACTACATCTATATGCTTTTAATGTGTTTAATAATTATAGGTATACGTTCTTAATGTGTTTAGATATATGATTTTTTTAAAACAAATGCCTATCGGTTATTCAAGATATGATATTTCTCCATGATTTATAAAGGGAAAATTAACGCGAAGTTCAATTTTGCTCCGTTAATCCTAGATTACATTTGGAGAATAATATAAGAAAACCCATAATTATTAGAGTATTTGGTATCAGGCTCGGGCCACGACAATCTGAGCCCAAACTTAGCACTGCAACTCCGAGCCCAGGGTTTATGCCCATCATCTCTCCTTTCTTCGACCCTTCACTCCATCTCTCTCTCGCGAGTGAAACTGTAAAATTCGAAAGAAAAAAAAATGAAGCCTCCACTCTCTCTCCTTCGCCTCGCCCTCAGAAACCCTAGATCCTCCTCAAAACCCTCGCAATGGCTCCGCCCCCTCTCCTCCTCCGCCGACGCCGCAGCCGCCCCCAGATCAAGCGACCGCGTCGTCTCCATCGTCGACGACATCTCCAACCTGCGGGGGAGGAGAAGGAGGAGAAGAAGGAGAAGACGGCGTTCGATGTGAAGCTGGAGGGGTTCGACGCCGCGGCCAAGATCAAGGTGATTAAAGAGGTGAGGGGGTTCACTGAGCTAGGGCTCAAGGAGGCTAAGGAGCTGGTGGAGAAGGCGCCGGTGGTGGTGAAGAGCGGGGTCACGAAGGAGGAGGCGGAGAAGATCGTGGAGAAGTTGAAGGGGATCGGCGCCAAAGTCGCCATGGAGTGAGGAGCAGCGTCTTGGCGAGGTACAGTTCTTGTTTGGATCTGTATACCTAATGCTGATTGTTTTAAGATCAAGAAGATGACGAATGCAACTTTTGTTAGATTATTTTGAGTCTAATGTTGCACTTCAAGAACAAGTGTACCTTGGATGAATGGGATGAATAATAATTTTCATTTCGTTAATGTATTTATTGGATTTGGACTATTTAGTTGAACCATCTGAATAGCTGTATACTGGGGGGATGAACTAGAATTGTTGTTAACTGGGAAGCCTGTTCTTGATTTATTCGTGGATTTTGGTAACTAAAACCCGTATCACCTTGTAATATGTTTTGTTATTGACTGTTTTTTCTTGATCTCCGGATCTTAGTTGACAAAGAAACAAGCCTACTGCATGAATGTGCTATGAGAAATAATGAAAGAATGGAACTTGTGGTGTTATTAAGTTACAATTCTTTTCATAGTGTGAGTGAAATATTTTAACTGCAATGTTGATAGATTGTAAATGCTGAATTATCACGGAATTTGTGTCGGTCAATTTTGTGACAAATTGACTATTTATTCCCTTCAGTTGAAGTATCTTAAATATCATAACATGCATGGTCCTTAGCTGGAATACCATAAGAAAAGCTCCCTATTACGAGGCAAAGAGCATGACTCTTCTAGCTAAGGTTTAGTATCATATCAGATATAAAGTGGAACTGCTAATGAAAAGTTTATCTGTAATTGAGATCTAAGACACTAAGACCTGTCACCTGACAAGTTAATCTTTTGGGTTTGAAGTAGTCTTGATTTGTATTGATGCAGATCAATCCTGGATAGACAGTTATTCGATTATTATTCATCTTTTGGTGGAAAAACCGTGCGCAAGGATGAATTTGAAATATGGGCATCCTATCATCTTTAATACTTTTGCATTCACAAAGTTCAAATGGAAAATGAAATTTTGCTGAGAAATGATGGGGATGACTCTCAAGTTGATAAACTAACGAGCAGAGATGATATAATTGAAAATTTAAAGAAGTACCTTGATTTTCAATAATGCAATCCTTTATAGTTATGGGTGATGATCAATTAATTATGTTTCAATTTCTGATGTATACTAATATTTTAATAGTATTAAATTGGTTACACGCTGTATCAAGTTCTAAGTGGTAAAGCCACTTACTTTTAAGGATTTATAGGAGTGGTGTCACTTGTGTAATGGTACTTGACGTAATCACAAGAAAAGAAGAGAAGTGGGCACCATTCATTCTTACCCCTTGTGACGTCTCTTTCTTGTTTCCTGATCGTTCAGTCTTTAGTATGTTTTATGTCGACGGACTTTAGGAACAACAACTTTCGTGTTAGGGGTGCAAAGAATTTGTGACTGGATGGAGAATAAGTAGTACTTTTTTGGACTTTGGTCCTCAAATCTACGAGATGTTTTTCTTATCTTTGTAACTTTGTTTTGTTTACAGTTTTTCGATTTCGTCAAGATTTGTATACCTCTTGTGTTTGAACCAAGTCTGGGTCGTTACAAATGTTAAACATTTGGGGGGGTTTTGGTCTGAAATTATCTGCTTTGAGTTCTTTTTGGTCATAAACTAACTGACTCAGATTATACACACGTTTATATTACATAACAAATCATGAATTTATTAATATAAATAAATATGCACATGATCATAATTTCAAGATATTTCTGATTAATATACAATAATCTAAAAGATAAGACATGATGTGTACATAGCTAATTAACTTTCATCTTGAAGGATCTAGATCCACTAAATTTATGAAGGTCAGACTTTTGTTGATTTCCTGATTCTCCTTAGCTTTCAGGTTTGATCTTATCGGTCATAAGGATGACTGTGCTAGATCATACATGCATTAGTTTTCGTAAAATTGCATTTGATAAAGATACAGTATGCCACATAAATCTAATATTTTACATTCAAGAAGTTTTCCCATAAATCATATGAATCGGTACATGTTAAGACATATTTTCTAGGAAGCTAATTGATCTTTTGTGAACTTCTTGAATTATTCATAAGCTTGGACCTACTGTTTGTAACAATGTTTGAGAATTTGACCTGGTTCCCTTTTGATTCTCATTTTCAACTTAGGACAAATTTTGAAAATCGACGGTTTTTCAAAGTTAATCGGCAAAATCGACCGTTGAAAATTTTTTTTTAGCAAAATCGACCCTTTTCTGCACGGGACTGCTAGTCCCGTGCAGAAAAGGGTCGGTTTTGTAATTTTTCAAACTGCACGAGACTGCTAGTCCCGTGCAGTGCGGTTCTGCCCCCCACCCGATCCCAATCCACGTTCTCTCTCCTCCAACAATCCCCTCCTCCGTAAATCTCTTCCCATTCTCCAGACCCACCAACATTTTCCCCTCTTCTCCTCTTCCTCCGCCTCCTCTATCACACCATCATCATCCATCTCTGGCAACATAATCGTCCTCTGGAGCGCCCCCGTAATGATTTCCACCCTCGTATTCGGCACCTCCGTCCTCCTCGGTGTCCGCCTCGATGCTGGCCTCGTCTTCACTGCCACATCCTTCTTCAAGATCCTCCAAGAGCCGCTCCGCAACTTCCCTCAGGCTCTTATCTCCGTCTCCCAAGCCATGATCTCCTTAGAACGGCTCGACAGTTACATGACCAACGGCGAGTTGGAGGATGACGCCGTGCAATGGGCTGAGCATTGTGGCGATGATGAAGTTGCAATTAAGGTTAAGGATGGAGCTTTTGGGTGGGAGGATGACGAGGACGGGAACGGGGGAGAGGAGAATGGTAATAAGGCTTGGTTGAAGGATGTGAATCTTGAGATCAAGAAGGGGACTGTTGGTGGGTCTGGAGAATGGAAAAATTGATGGATGATGATGGTGTGATAGAGGAGGAGGAGGAGGAAGAGGAGAAGAGGGGAAAATGTTGGTGGGTCTGGAGAATGGGAAGAGATTTACGGAGGAGGGGATTGTTGGAGGAGAGAGAAAGTGGATTGGGATCGGGTGGGGGGCAGAACCGCACTGCACGGGACTAGCAGTCCCGTGCAGTTTGAAAAATTGCAAAACCGATCCTTTTCTGCACGGGACTAGCAGTCCCGTGCAGAAAAGGGTCGATTTTGCTAAAAAAAAATTTCAACGGTCGATTTTGCCGATTAACTTTGAAAAACGGTCGATTTTCAAAATTTGTCCTTCAACTTAAATTGTTTTTTTTTTCATTTTGCTTCGTTTTTTTTTTTTTGAATATTAAACGAGAATGCAAATGTCTTTTTTGAACGAAATGAAAATAAAAGATAACTGGGACCTTGTAGGGCAGATAAGTTGTTGGAACGTGCAAGTTACCAAAGAGGTCAGAGATGAAAAAGAAAAGGGAGGGTAAACGAGTTATTGTGATACGAGGAATGAGGCCTTTGGAGAGGGAGTTGTTATTTGAAAATGGAAAGAACAAATTAGCTACGAAAATTAACATGTGAACAATATTGTTGACAGTATGGCAATTAAGTGCATGATCTTCACCCTTGGTGAAGGATTCTCTGGTGGGCTATGGAGTTTGCATATAAATAGTTACAGTACATCTTATTGATATTAGATTCAAATATGATATGGCATATATGTACATGGATATGACACATCCTGAACATTTAATTTAGAGTAATGTATACTTATAAAGTCGTACATATGTTTAACATGTTGATATTTGTTGCATGAACTTATGAAGGAGAAATTGTTAGATTTGTGTAGTACCTTGGATGATATTTATACTTTCAATATTACATCTGTGAACAATGATGTTGAACGAAGTATACCCATATTTAGCCCGCTAGACATGTAAAGAATGAAGAATGAGGACCCACAACTAATAGCACCAGTTCAAATTTTATAAAGGCTCCCCCCCCCCCCCCTCCCCTTTATTTTTTTCTTTAACTTATTCATGTTGCTAGTAAATAATAACATTCCTACATAAAGCGCTAGGCACCTCTGCCTTTTTTAAATTATATTAATTGATGGTGTATATATGAGCAGACTAATAGTTAACACTTTTACTCACTTTTAGACCTACCTTTAAAACAAATGAAACAATTATTACTCCATTAGGAGTTACAAAGGAGGTGGCAGAGAAAATCATGGAGTAGTTGAAGGAGATTGGCGCCAAAGTCGCGATGAAACGAGGAAGAGGAGCATGGGCGAGTTACAAAATCAACATGATGAATGAAGCATTTTTCGTCAAATTGTTTTTTGGCTAATGCTCAACTTCATTAACCTTATTTAAGCAGTGTACCTTGGATGAATGTGATGAATAAGAGGGATTAGTGTATTTTGAGTGTAGTGTTTCATTGTGTTGTTGTTTATGAGTATACAAACCAACTCTTGTATGTAACTTCGATGCAATGGTCTTTATTGGATTGGGATTATTTACTTCAAGCAGCTAGTATTTAGATTGTTGAGGGTAACTGAAACTCTGTTGTTGGGTGGCTGACAAAGGTAAAATATCACTGTATGATCTAGAGTGCTGTGAGAACTGATGAGCAGCAGGCCTATTGTTTAATGTCTCAATAATTGTGGTAGAAATAAGCTTGGGATATCGTTAAAAGTTTGATTTGGTGCATTTTATTACTGAAATACTTTAAATCTGATGTTGCTTTGCTGCCAGAATTGGTGTAGGTCAAATTTGTAGGGAATTGACTATTTATTCTTTTTAGTTGAGTCATATATATTTTATATCGTAGTATGTTGTCCAGTGATTATTTGTGTTTTGGTAGAGATGACTTGCACGATTATAAACTTGGTAATTTGTGCTTGGTAGTAAGGTGTCTCATTCCCATTCACTCTCTAACACATGTGAAAGTGGTTCCCCAGTTGAATGAGTGGATGAGAATGTGTCACTTCACTGCCAAGCATTTTTGTGCTTGGTACCAAGTTCCTGCATAATACATACATACACGCATACATTATATTTTTGAAGATGCGCGTTCGCTAAGTTTGTATGGGAATATGGTATTTTTGAAGAAGAGGATGGTAAA